AGAAGCTACAACTACAGAACAAGCAACAACTGCAGAAGCTACCACCACTGAACAAGCAACTACTGCAGAAGCTACGACCACTGAACAAGCAACAACCGTAGAAGCTACCACCACTGAACAAGCAACAACAGTAGAGGCTACGACCACTGAACAAGCAACGACTGTAGAAGCTACCACCACTGAACAAGCAACAACCGCAGAAGCAACAACAGTAGAAGCTACGACCACTGAACAAGCAACTACTGCAGAAGCCACCACTACTGAACAAGCAACGACTGTAGAAGCTACAACTACTGCAGAAGCCACCACTACTGAACAAGCAACGACAGTAGAAGCTACCACCACTGAACAAGCAACAACAGTAGAAGCTACAACTACTGAAGTTGTAGCTTCTACTGAACAAGCAACGACCGCAGAAGCTACCACCACTGAACAAGCAACAACAGTAGAAGCTACGACCACTGAACAAGCAACTACTGCAGAAGCTACCACTACTGAACAAGCAACGACTGTAGAAGCTACCACCACTGAACAAGCAACAACTGCAGAAGCTACCACCACTGAACAAGCAACAACAGTAGAAGCTACCACTACTGAACAAGCAACAACTGCAGAAGCTACAACTACAGAACAAGCAACAACTGCAGAAGCTACCACCACTGAACAAGCAACTACTGCAGAAGCTACGACCACTGAACAAGCAACAACCGTAGAAGCTACCACCACTGAACAAGCAACAACAGTAGAGGCTACGACCACTGAACAAGCAACGACTGTAGAAGCTACCACCACTGAACAAGCAACAACCGCAGAAGCAACAACAGTAGAAGCTACGACCACTGAACAAGCAACTACTGCAGAAGCCACCACTACTGAACAAGCAACGACTGTAGAAGCTACAACTACTGCAGAAGCCACCACTACTGAACAAGCAACGACAGTAGAAGCTACCACCACTGAACAAGCAACAACAGTAGAAGCTACAACTACTGAACAAGCTACCACTACTGAACAAGCAACTACTGTAGAAGCCACCACTACTGAACAAGCAACGACTGTAGAA